AATGTTGCGACACGTTTCACGTTAACTCACTTAAACAGCTATCAAACACTCATTTCTTTTTCTCTCACAGATTATTGGGCTGTTCACTATCTGCAATGGGTTTTCGAGCATCTGAAAATCGCATGGTAGGAAAAGGACCTGCATCAAACGGTCGGCGATGCTAACGGAGCTGAGAGATAGCGAGGTACTTTGAAAATTGGATCTACTATGTACCTACTAAATAATGGGGACGTAGTCTGGTATCAGACGACAGATAGGCATTGTCATTCTCTGGATACAATCCGCTGACCCTTACGTTAGAAAAGATAACTCCCAGAGTCGGCAAGTGTGGGATATGCCCCCTCGGGGGGGGGGGGGCAACAGACACCCCTTCGGCAAGGGTGATGAGGGCGTCTGGGAAAATAAAAGTTTATTTTTAGAATTCATGGTTTGCACGGATTGATAAGGTGGTTGATGTGAAGCATTGTTTGTTTGTTTACTGAGGGTAGGCCTGTCTAATCAGACCATTTTAGAGCTAGAAGCGTTATTGGAATTAGGGAAAACATTGGTCTGAGCGGGCATGGTGAATCGTCGAGGCTGAGCCCATCCATCCAGGCCACCCATGAACCAGCCCCACCCCCCTTCCCAAGCACTTACTGCATCCGGCTACAGACCTGTGCTCCTATGGGAGCTGCTCGAATGCGATATAGTTGCCCGTCCAGCTCGAAACAGGGGTTGAGGCATGGAGGAGACTATCCTACTCAACCCCTGTTTACTCAACCCCTGTTTCTACTATCCTGAAGATGGAAAGGACGGATTAACGGAACACTTGGAAAGTGTGAACTGCGTCGAATCACTGGTCTGCCCTGGCATTGTCTCGAGAGAGTGGTTACAAGTGAAGGTCGCTGAGAGTGGGACAATGAAAATTTTGTATTAGGTGTAAAAGTGATAAAATGGGTCCTGGGAGACACTTTAACCCGCGCCCCAGTGGCGGTCTCAGCCAACTTCGCCCTAGTGAGGGGGGGCATATGTTACCACCCACCTCTAACTAAAAAACTAAGAGGGCTAGAAAGACGCGGTAAAAAGCAGTCGATAGCTCTCAATGCGTACGTTTGAAAGTATTTCAGTCATTTTTCACCTTAGAGCAATATTGGGGTCACCAGAGGTCATCAAAGGTCAAAATTTGCCAATTGTCATTATATTTTTCAGAAAACATGCCGCTATCTCAGGAACTATGGTAGCTAGAATAACGCAGGGAAAAGCAATCGATAGCTTTTGAACTCTTCTTTTGAAAAGGTCATTATCAATATTGACCTCAGGTCAACGGTTTGGCCTCCAGAGGGCAAAAAGTCCAAAAATAGTTGTTTTTACGAAAAGTGTTTTTCGACAATAACTTACGACTAAAAAAAGCCACGACATTTCTATTGCCAGAATCGTGTTCCTCTCGCCGAGACGCGTCGAATGAACTATAATTTGACCTTGAAAGGTCAAGTTGAAAATTTGACCTCAGGTCAAGGTCATGACCTTACCGGAAAAGGTCATGTTGCATATCAGTCGATGCGTCTCAACAAGGCAAACACAGTGAGACCATCCCCAGCGTTCTATCTCTTTCCAATCGCGAGTTATTGGCAAAAAACTGTTTGTAGCCTCAAGTGACCTCGGATGACCTGTCTAGAGGATATCAGCAAAAATGACACCTTGGTCATCACGAGTGGACTAAATCATTGTGATTCTGAAATATTTGGACTGTTCCGATGCGTACACACGGATCTAGAGGCATTTTCATTTTTCTCCATTGACTTGTAATGGAAAGGTTTCGCCACTGACCTGACCTTAGGTCACGGATATAAAAAATCCGAGATAAACAAATTGTAGACGCCTATAACAGCATGCAATCCACCAAGTTTGAAACCTTTCTGACAAACACTGCAGGCTGAACATGATTGCAAACTTTTTTTTTAGGCTTGGTCAGTTAACTTGACCTGGTGACCTGACCTGACATGACCTGGGGTCAAAATTTCACACATTGTCAAAAATTGATGTACCGAAAGGTACCCCAAGCGGCGCGGCGCTACGCGCCGCGGTTTTTTATTCACACGCAAAAAACGCGACAGGGTGGTAACATATGCCCCCCCCACTGGGGCGAAGGTTAAGCCGAGTTGTTATGACGCGCTACGCCTTACGCGGGTAATTTGTGAAGCCGGATAGGTTCATTTTTTTTGCTAAGAGTAGGCATGACTACCCTGCATTTGAATTTAACTTTACTCCCAGGAGGGTGGTTAACCCGCGCGGGGCTGGGGTCTCCAGCCGAACGCGCGGGGCTGGGGGGGGGTAAATTTTACCCCCCCTGTTATCTCCCGAACTAATGGTCCGATTTGGAAAATTCAAACGCCAATCGAAAGCTCTCATCACGAACTACTAAAAACATGTACTTAATTTAAAGTTTGAGGTCAAGGTCAAGGTCAGGTCAAGGGTACAAATTGCAAGTTTCTACAGTATTGGCCTTGCACCGTAGTTGCCGAAGAATGGAGTCATGGACTGAGACTGATCGCCCAAAACGTGTTCTTAGGCTACCAAGACAATATTAGTTGCATACAATATCATTCAGAGGTCAAGGTCAAGGTCAGGTCAGGTCAGGTCAGGTCACCAAAAAACAAAATATAGAAAAGGGCATGTGCGACACATGTTTTATGGGTCATTTTACTCATAGAATTCAATAGGCACACTCAATAAGTGATATGGACCACCTCTGGATGAATTGCAGGTCGAGGTCAGGTCAAGGTCAGGTCAAGTGAGGTCAAATTTTGAAGTTGGTTGTTAAGGCCTAAAATGGTGTCTATCTGATGCAGTTTTTCACGGCGAATCGAATGGTGCTATTTTTGTTTCCGTACGAGATCTAGAACTTCCAAAAAAGTCATTTTTCAAAAATTTGTGTGTCGTGACGTCATAAAATTTTGAATAACTCCCACATTTTTGAACCGATTCTTCTAAAATTTGGTATGTAGGTGCACATAGACCACTTCTCTGACATATATTCCGGTTTTTTCGATAGACTCAAAATTTTGGATTTTATAATGATTTTCCGAAAAAAATCAGTTTTTTGAAAAAAATTTAGGCCAAAATCCAAAATTTCAAAAAACCGAGATAGCCATTTGATAGACAAAGTAAAATTACGTATAACCTTTTTTGTTACGTCTTGATTCCTTTAAAAATGAAGATGTTAGCGGCGTTTGAACTTTTGCCGTTTTTGAGGCGAAAATGGCGAACATGACGTCACTAAAACGTCAATTTCTCAAAAATTTTCCGACGGATTTCGCTCAAATTTTCAGGGAAGGTGTCAAATTGATGTAAGAAAAGGTACTGAAAGTTTGGCGGCGCTGCGCGCCGCCGTTTTTGAGATATTGCAAAAATTCGCGAGGGGGGGTAAAATTTACCCCCCCCCCAGCCCCGCGCGGGTTAACAATGGTATTGCGGATAGGCGCTTAGGCGAGGCACAGATTTACTCCCAATCCTCGGTTAAATTGTTTTCTGTTTGGGGTTCTCATATGAGAGGGTAATGGGCTAATGGCTCTGTCTAGCTTCCAAAAAGAAAGCACCGCCCAGGGTACGTGCCAACCACTAGGTACTTTAAATGGACAATTGTTGTTGATAATTACCGTTTGTTGCCATCTCCCCGTTCGCGAACCCTTAAGTTATGCTCTCTCATTCAGGCTCTTAGGCGGGTAATAAAGCATGAGGGATGTGGGTTCCGCATTCTCCAGCAATATTTGTCAACAGTTGGTGAATTATATGTTAAAACAAACTAGCATATACGGCGGTTTAGTGTACTTTATGTCCGTCTGATGTGCCCGTCGTAGCGTTTTCGCAACGCTGATGGCGCCCGGTGTGCCCTTCGTTGCGATTTCGCAACGCACGTTTTTTTACATTTTTCTCGAAAAACTTTTGCTGCCGGCAAAAATTATTTTCGATTCCATGCAAGGCCCTGGTAGAAGCGTAACATATCTTGATTTCATCATTTTCATGATAGTCAATATTCCTGGGCATAAATGGGTTAATTTAAGTTTACTTAAAATTCAAGAAAAACTTTAATTACACTTAATCGAGCTAAAAAGTATATCATTCGACGCACCTTGACGTGCTGAGTTCACTGGTGCTTTTCTTTTTGCTCTATCTTAATTAGATCAAAAGTTATAAGCGAAAAACTTTTGACCTGTTTTTAGCGAAATTTTTACATTTATACCCCCAAAACCCCCTAAATATTGACCTAGAGCAACCAAATTTGGACAGGGGCGAGAACTCCAGGGGCTCACCTACCTATCAAATTTGGTGTTTCTAGGTGCCATAGGAGCCAATTGCGAGGGAGGGTCGATGCAACCCCCCCCCTGCCAGGCCGTGTTATGAAAATGCCCTGCCAGGGCATGGGTTAAATAACGGTGTTGAGTGTAAACTATTGCGTAGATGTCGGACATCTTTGGACAAATGGCTGGCTTGGACATTTTTGGACAAACGGTCGACGTAAGCATTGGACATTGGACAGACATTGGACACATGTTTTCTAAAATAGACATCCCTAGTTCGGAGCCTCACCCATTGGTCGGGGCCGGGGTGGCCGCAGCGCCGGCACCAGTCGATCCAGTGGCGGCGGCCGGTGGTGCTGACGGGGCCGGGGTGGCCGCAGCGCCGGCACCAGTCGATCCAGTGGCGGCGGCCGGTGGTGCTGACGGGGCCGGGGTGGCCGCAGCGCCGGCACCAGTCGATCCAGTGGCGGCGGCCGGTGGTGCTGACGGGGCCGGGGTGGCCGCAGCGCCGGCACCAGTCGATCCAGTGGCGGCGGCCGGTGGTGCTGACGGGGCCGGGGTGGCCGCAGCGCCGGCACCACTCGATCCAGTGGCGGCGGCCGGTGGTGCTGACGGGGCCGGGGTGGCCGCAGCGCCGGCATCAGTCGATCCAGTGGCGGCGGCCGGTGGTGCTGACGGGGCCGGGGTGGCCGCAGCGCCGGCACCAGTCGATCCAGTGGCGGCGGCCGGTGGTGCTGACGGGGCCGGGGTGGCCGCAGCGCCGGCACCAGTCGATCCAGTGGCGGCGGCCGGTGGTGCTGACGGGGCCGAGCCAGAGCTTGCCGGCTCAGGCGCCTTGGGGGCGGACGGCTTGGCCGGAGTAGGTGGCTTGGCCGCGGCGCCGCTCTCGCTGGAGGCCGGCTTAGACGCGGCGCTACCGAACGACGGCCATCCACCGAACACTGAGGAGCCGGAGCCGAAGGGAGACGACTGGGCACCAGAGGCCAAACCAAAGCCGCCGAACAGAGAGGCGGGCTTGGAGTCAGTCCCGGAGCCGCCGAATATCTGGTCTTCTTTGGATGTCTTGTCGCCGGTGGTCGCCCCACCGAAGAGAGATGCAGCTTTGTCAGTTCCCTTTCCTCCGAACACCGATGGGGTACCAAAGATGGACGTGGTTTTGGTTTCGGAAGAGGGCGTTCCTGCGAAAATAGACGCAGGTTTGGTTTCAGTTGACGACGCTCCTCCGGAGTTCGAAGTTGTCTTGTTACCCGATGAACCTCCAAATATTGACGTGGTCTTTGTGTCCGTTGCCGCCGCTCCTCCGAAGATCGAGGATCCAGACTTGTCGGCGTCGCCGCCGAATGAGAATTTGAACGGCGACGAGGCTGCGGACGACACGCCGAGCTCGAACGTGGCCTTGGGAGTCGCCTCGACGACCTTACCCTGGTCGACGCCGAACGCAAACGGGGCAGTCTTGAAATGGAAGGAGCTGTTGGGGGTGGCCGCTCCGGCGCCGGCGGCGGGGGCAGAGGTCACGACGCTGGAGGTGGTGGTACTGGAGACCGCGGCGCCAGAGCCAGAGGTCGAGCTGACAGGTCCCTCCTCCGTGGTGTTCTCGCCCCTTGCCTGCGATGGAAACCGGTGCAGGGGCGGCTTTAGTTCAGACATCCAGTTGAACACATCAGTAATTGAACACATGAAAATACAATATAAAATAAAGGAACAATGACAAGGCCAAGGGAACACTTAGCCCTCGCTGGACCTTTTATATTTTCTACATACTCGCACGTGCCGGCCGATGGAAGGGGGGGTACGAACCCCCTCGGCGTTATGCCCCTGATGGAGCTCAAGAGCGTTGCGGAAAAAACGAGCGTGTGCACTGTTACCATACGCAGTAAATGATACCCGATTATAAGTTCGCGCCCCGCTGGGGGTCCTGGATTTCCACGCCCTGCTGGGGAAGGGGGGGCTCCCCCAGCACTCACCGCACCCGGCTACGGGCGGTGCTCGGCTTACGGACAATCCCGCATGGGATAAAGTTGCCCGTCCAGCCCGGATCAGGCGGTTGCGGCGTGGAGGAGAAGGATTTGAATATCCTGAGGATGGAAACGATGGAACGATGGAACGATGGAACGGTGCGGATATCGATGGAGGCATATATAGCCACTATAAGCTGAACATTCCATGAGCAAGGTTAGCAGGCGAACTGGCGACGAAATGGAGAGTGTGGTACTTTCATCTGGGCAGACAATAGTGATGGACAGAGTGGGGCGAGAAACTATTAGCCACGTGCCTCCTGCCTCGGGCATGGTGTGTCAAAAGTGGAAATAGCTGCATGGCTTTAGTTCGCCAGCCTTGTCAATAGATGGCAGTACCACAATATGGGCACCGGATCGTGCAATTGACGTCAAATTTTCGTTATCTGCTAAGAATTGAATGGCAGATCTTTTCATGCAAGAATCAAGTAAATCGGTACACAACTTTTCTAGCAACAGATATATGAAGTCAAACACCCTGCCAGAGCGGCGGCGCGGCGGCCGGCGGCAGCCGTTACGCGCCGCCTGGGAGACTGGCGGCGCTGAACGGTTCCGAATTCGCCCTGCACTAAAACCTGTCAACTGCTTGGAATAGTTATTATAGCAAAATTTTCATTCAAGTGAGGAATAACCAAGGACAGGAAGTATGTATGCTTGTGTGCGTACTATGTAAGCCAAGAAACTGCATTAGCAGATACTCGCTAATATTAGATCCAGCCAAGTCCAAACGCATTCCAGGTGATGTGTTTCTGATGGGTCAACAATATTTATCGTTCTAGGGCGGATACAGTTTTAACAATGCAAAAAATATTTTTGCACAGCTCTATTCCTTGAATAATTCTCTCATGGGTGTAACTTTGTATACTTTCGCGGTCCCATGTGGGACCCCAATGCGAACATTTGGGACCCCAATTGTCATTTTGGGACCCCAATAGTGGAGGCCCCCGAGACGCACCAGCTACTTTGCAAACGGAGGTCCGATGCTCATATAAAAGGTTCTCTGTTTAAATAGGAGGCCCCTTAAGGGGCCTTCTTTGCCTCCGATTTGTCCAATTGGACAAATCGGAGGCCCTTTTGGACAAATAGGAGGCCCCCTGAACAAGTAGGAGGCCCCCTGAACAAGTAGGAGGCCCCCTGAACAAGTAGGAGGCCCCCCGGAAAACAGGAGGCCCCCTGGAGAAATAGGAGGCTCTCTGGACAAGCAGGAGGCCTCCTGGACAAATAGGAGGCCCTAGACAAATAAGAGGCCCCTAGACAAATAGTAAGCCCCATGGACAAATAGGAGGCCCTCTGTACAAAAAAGAAGCCCCTGAACAAATCGGAGGCCCCATGGACAAGTAGGAGGCCCTCTGTACAAATAGGAGGCCCCCTGCAAAATAGGAGGCCCCCTGGACAAATAGGAGGTCCTAGACCTAGACAAACAGGAGGCCCCTTTCACATAAGGAGGCCCCCTGGACAAATAGGAGGCCCCATGGACAAGTAGGAGGCCCTCTGTACAAATAGGAGACCCCCCTGCAAAAATAGGAGGCCCCCTGGACAAATAGAAGGTCCTAGACCTAGACAAACAGGAGGCCCCTTTTACAAAAGGAGGCCCTCTGGACAAATAGGAGGCCCTTTTCACAAAAGGAGGCCCCCTGGACAATTAGGAGGCCCCCTGAACAAGGAGGCCCCCTGGATAAAGAGGAGGCCCCCTAAAAATAGGAGCCCTCTGGATAAATAGGAGGCCGCTTGGAAAATAAGAGGCTACTTTAACCAATAGGAGGCCCCCTGGACAAATAAGAGGCCCCCTGAACACGTAGGAGGCACGCTGGACAAATAGGAGGCCTCTTGGGCAAAGAGGCCCCCTAGAAAAATATGTAACAGGTTCCTTGGACAAATAGGAGGACCCCTGGACAGATATGGGACCTCTTGAACAAATAGGAGGCTCCATGGACAAGTAGGAGCTAGAGGACCTCTGTACGAATGGGAGGCCCCCTGGACAAATACAAGGCTCCCTTAACCCGCGCCCTGGTGTGGGTCTGAGCCACCTTCGCCCTGGTGGGGGGGGCCAAAATGACCCCCCCCGTCTAACTCGAAAACGAAGAGGGCTAGGAAGACGCGGAAAAAAGCAAACGAAAGCCCATAACAAGTACGTTCGAAAGTATTTCGGTCATTTTTTCGCTAAGGTCAATATTGAGGTCGCTAGAGGTCATCATAGGTCAAATTTCAGTGTTTTCGGTGTTGCCGGACATATTCCGCTGTAGCTCGGAAACTAGAAGAGCTAGAGAGCCGCGGAAAAAAGCAATCGATAGCTCTTTTCAAGCTCTTTCGCCAAGGTTCGTCAGATTTGGCCTCAGCTCAACGGTTTGGCCTACAGAGGTCATGCAAGGTCAACTTGGCAAATTTCGTTGAAAATGTTTTTAACTATAGCATGCATTCACGAGAAAATAGAGAAACGATTCATGCACCATCGTGCTTGGCTCGTCGAGACGCGTCGAATGATATATAGTTTGACCTCGAAAGGTCATTTTGAAAATTTGACCTCAGGTCAAGGTCATGACCTTACCGAAATAGGTCATGCTGCATATCATTCGATCCGCATTGACGAGACAAACACGATAAACGTCGAACGGAGTCTCTATCTCTATTCAATAACAAGTAAGTGCAGAAAAACCGCTGGTGACCTCTGGTGACCAGGGAGATGACCTAGCGTGACCTCAGCGAGGTCACAAGCAAATGGTTTCACATGGGCTGTGATTTGCTGACCCAAGACACTTCAATAACGAAATATAGGAACAATCACGCCCGATTTAGCTGAAAAACAACTACTTTTCGATTCTCCCATTGACTTATAATGGGGAGCAGCGATGACCTTACCTGACCTTAGGTCACATTTATAAAAAATCCGAGATAGCCATTTTGTAGAGCTGGGTGACATCTTCAAGTACTGTAAATTTTACATCGATCGGATAAAAGCTGTGCCTTTGAGAGAGCTTTGAACTTTTTTAGAGGTGGTGTCAGTTTTGGTGACCTTGTGACCTGACCTGACCTGACCCGAACCCCCCAAAAAAGGACATGATGTAAAAATGTTGAATAAACAGCTATACAAAGTTTCAGGGCGCTAACTCAAGTGGTTTCTGAGTTATCGCTGAAAAACCACAGGGGGGGCCAAAATGGCCCCCCCCCACCAGGGCGAAGGTTAACAAAAAGGAGTCCCTTAACCCGCGCCCCGTAGGGCTACCGGCGGACCCTACCACCCGTAGGGGGGGCCGTTTCGGCCCCCCCTAAGATCTCGGAAAGTTACCGGCCGATTTTCAAAATTCAAACAGCGTTCGATAGCCCCACCCGGGAACTACCTTGTGACCAAATATCATTGACCTAGGTCAAACCGATGACGTCACAGGTCAGGTCAAAGGTCAGATTTTCACCGTTCACAGGCAATTCAAGAAATGTGCTGTGAAAGCGAGTAAATTGGTAATTTATTGAAAACCATCGATGGTACATTGTTCGTCAAACACATACTTTGCTATCTGAGGTCACTGATACCAGGTCAGGTCACAGCGAGGTCAGGTCACCGGGGGTCACAATATGAATGTGTCGTGTGATACATGTTTTATGGTCCATTTTACATGACAAATGCGATTATGTGGGTTAGGCAGCCTTTGGGGCCAGCCTAGGTCACGTTTTGGTGAAGGTCAGGTCAAGGTCAGGTCAAATTAGGTCAAATTTCAAATTTGATATTTTTGCATAAAATGGGTATCGATTCGATGCAGCTCGTCACGGGGAGTCTAATGGTGGTCTTCGTTTTGCTCTACGAGTTCTAGAATTGCCAAAAATTGAGTTTGAAAATTTGACATCATCATTTTTGAACAGTTTTTTCGCTATAACTTGGCCAAAAAACGAGCTATCGATCTGAAATTTAGTATGTAGATAGAAGACGGTAGGCACTATCACATATATTCCGTTTTTTTTCGAAACTCAAAAAACTTTTTGGATTTTTTGGCGAATATATCCAAAAAATGTTTTTTTGATTTTTGGGGGTCAAAACTCAAAAATTTCAAAAATTAAAGATAGCAGTTTTGTAGCCCTGTTAATTCTACACCTTTTATGTCTTGATCATTTTTCTGTATCTTCAAATCTGTAGTCCTGACAGGTCTTCTCGCGAAGGTCTTTTTCGGTCGAAAATGACAGAACATGACGTCACTCTGACGTCATTTGTGGCCAACCTATCATAGTCTCTGGAAAACATTTTTGGTCACAATGTGTAAAATTGATGCCCGGAGGGGTCCTGAAAGTTTGGTGGCGATATCTCCAGCCGTTTAGGAGATATCGACCGAAAAGGACAGGGGGGGGCCGTTTCGGCCCCCCCCCCCCCCCACGGGGCGCGGGTTAAAAAAGGAGGCCCTGGGACAAGTAGGAGACCCTTGGACAAGTAGGAGGCCCTGCACAAATATGAGACCCCTAGTCGAACAAAAGACCCCTGGATAAACAGGAGGCCTCCTGGACAAATAGGAGGCCCAATAGACGAATAGGAGGCCGCTTGGACAAATAGGAGGCGCCGTTGACCAATAGGAGGCCCCCTAGACAAACAGGAGGCCCTCTGTAACAGTA